TATAGCATAATCTAAAACAACAATACAAACATTTATGAAACAATATTGAGGAATTTACAGCATTAAAAAAGAAAAATTACACAAAAGAAATTTGCATATAATTTTATAAAAGCGAAATAATAAAATGACAATATGTTTTAACACAGTTTGCCATTTGACAGTTTCTATCCGTGGACTATTGAAATGAATATGTAAATGAATATATATTATATGTATTAATGAAGTATCTTTATTGTGGCACTGAATACTGCTCTTCCAATGTGAAATTATCTTCTCTGGCAAGTATTGTATCCATCAGTCTTTAGCTCTAGAACTCTTGAGCAAGTTTAATTGATGGGTGGTCAAGATGCATTTCTCTCTATATACTGACGTTAGCTTGACTTGAAACCATCACCATGATTAAATTTGCTTGTGTCCTTAGTAGCTCATCATTTGAACATTTCATTAGAAATACACACTAGCATCTGACTTATTCCCATATTGTGAATAAATATCACCTCTAGGTGTCATCACAGTTTCTACTTCTTCTTCCGGTTCATGGGAGTGATTGGTTGATTTCGTTGTTTCGACCTTCGAATGCTTTTCGATTTGTGCATACATATCACCACCAGGTGTCGTCACATGTTCTATTTCCTGTTCCGGCTCATGAGACCGCTTTTTAGAAACCGCTGTTTCGACCTTCCAATGCTTTTCGACCTGTGCATATATATCACCACTAGGTGTCGCCACATGACCTATTTCCTGTTCCGGATCATGAGACTGCTCTTTTGAATTCGTTGTTTCGACCTTCGAATGCCTTTCGACCTGTGCGTATATATCGCCGCTAGGGGTCACCACATGATTGGTTGCTGCATCCGGTGAATGTGCTCTTGTTGCTTCATACAAGACATTATGGTCTACAGCAGTTTCAGTTTCCCTGTGTTCTTTTGATTTTCTTTTTGTTCTGAAAAATACAAAATGCACATATCAATGTGATTGGCGATTGAAGTAGACTTGAGAAATTCAAAATCTTTTACAATGCATTTGCAACAATTTTCAATTATTAACGTTAATTATATTAACATTCTAGCCACAAAGAGCTATGTCGACTGATGTTTATATCAAAGCATATTCCGAATTCAAATTATTTCATTCTACATAACATGACATAAAACACAGATAACTGTTCCATACTATCCCCTCAGTCATTGAGCCTAGGCCCTGCAATCAACATCTTTCACTATTGTGGACAAAAATGTCAAAATGATTTGATCACATTGAGAATATGTATCTACATGTATTAAAAACCTGAAAAGTCCACTTATTATCTTCTATCATTTAAAACATAGAAACACTTCGTTAATTAAATGTTATATTTACATATATGTGATTTTGTTTTGATGGCAAGTGAAAACTTTGTTTAATAACAATTTAAACAAACTAATACCATTCCGTTCCTTTTAACCTATAGCTATTTACCGTATTAGAAATACAAACCTTGAACACATGACCGCAATGACAATGCAGATTATAAGGAAGACCACGCCCCCTGCAGCTATTGCGATAATGACCGTAGCTGAAATGATACAAAGACAGATACATGCACAGCAACGAGAGCTTATTGACTATCAGTACTTACATACCAAGTATGTCATACTTGAAATTTATTAACAGAAATTTTTCTTGTGTAATCATGCATTTAACAATTGTACATAGAAATATAAATATGTTTGTCTGTATTGGTTGTAACAAGGCGTGTTAATTTATGTAAACCTATTACCTTACTTTTATTTATATACATACATGAAAGTAAAGGGAAAAGTTATGCTACTATTGTATTTACGGAAACTGTCAAAATGTGTTAAGGTAATAGGTTTGTGTCACCATTTCTCAGTAGAATTTC